TTTTTAAGACAGTTTCACTATGTCACCCTCGATAGAGTTCTATGGTATCACAGCTCACAGCAACCTTAAACTCTTGGACTTAAGCGATTCTTTTGCCGCAGCTTCCCAAGTAGGTGGGACTATACGCGCCTGCCACAATGCCTGGCTATTTTTTTGTTGCAGTTGTCATTGTTGTTTAGCTGGCCCAGACCGAGTACAAGCCTGCCAGCCTGGGCATATGTGTCTGGTGCCCTACCCACTGAGCTACTGGTGCTGCCCAGAAGGGCACATTTTTCAAGGCAAGGGGGCAGAAGTACATAGAGATGTTCCCAAGGTGTCACATAGATGATGGCCTTGGGCTCCCCTACTGCAGGGGGGCAGACAGGATACCAAAATTTCACTGAGGGGATGGGAAGGTCTGGAATTTGGATAGACGTCTCTGCCCATAGGGGCGGGCTTGAAGGGGAAGTGGCAAGAAGCAGTGTATGGGCAGGGCCCAAGGGATGGTGGGGTGCAGTCCACCTCCCTTCTTTCCATTCCTTACCTTGGCAGTGTCCTTTTCTGACCATGATGTAGCCCTGATCACACTCGCAGTGGTATGAGCCCTCCGTGTTGGTGCACTGCCCCCCAGCGCACACTCCTGGCTGCTCACACTCATCTACATCTATGAACAGACAGAAAAGTCCTGAGTCACAGCTGGCCTGGAGGGGGTCCTGGGGCATCACTTCAGAGTCCAAGGACAAGGGCATCAGTGTTGAGGCCCGAGAGGGGAAGGCATCCTTGCTGTAGCCATATTGGCTGGATGGGCTCTGAGTCAAGCCTGAGACCATCTAGCTCAGGCCCCTCCCTGGGAGGAGGCAACTCTGAGGCCCAGGGGAGTCTTCTCAATGTATCCTCACGCTGATGTGAGGGCTGGTCTTGAGGTCAGGTGGCAGTCCACATGGCATGATTATGAGTGTTAGAGGAGGAGACCAGGAGGCAGGGCCGAGACCCAGAGGCAGGGGCTTACAGAGGGGGCAGGTATTAAAGCAAACAACCTCCAAGCAGAAGCTAATTAGAAGAGCTGATGACTGCAAGAACCAGCTATCTCTGTCACCTGAGAAGAACTTTGGTTAATTACAATATCATTTACATTATGGTTTTAAAATTTCTCTGCCCTTGACAGTTCTGAGATAAACTATATAAAGTATGAAAATAGGAAGGAACGTAATTCTAGGAATTACTACTCAAATTCTTAGTAAAACCCAACCGCTTGTTCTTGAATATTAATCCCCTTAATTAGGAAGACATCAAAAGACCAAAACCCCTCTCCCTCCCCAGGCAGCTGCTTTCACTTCCTTCCAAGAGTGTACTTTCACTTACAATAGAAAGCTGCTGCTTGCCTAGCTTATGCAGTGCTTCCTGAAATTCTTTCCTTGGTAATCACCAAGACCTTGGAAAAACCTCCACTTTGAGGCAACTGACATGAGGAGACCAGCGAAGTCCCTACTTGGCCTTGCTCCTAGAATTCTTTTTTTGTTGTTGTTGAGACAGAGTTTCACCATGTCACCCTTAGTAGAGTGCTGTGGCGTCACAGCTCACAGCAACCTCCAACTCTTGGGGTCCTCAAACTATGGCCTGTGGGCCACATGCAGCCTGCCTAGGACACTTATCCGGCCCGCCAGGTCCTATAGCCACTGCTGCCTATCCTGCTTAGCAGCCGACTCATTCTGGGGTCCACAATCTAGCCCTCCAAAGGTCTGAGGGACAGTGAACTGGCCTCCTGTTTAAAAAGTTTGAGGACCCCTGGAAGTGATTCTCTTGCCTTAGTCTCCCAAGTGCTTGGGACTACAGGCACATGCCACAATGCTCAGATATTTTTTGTTGCAGTTGTCATTATTGTTTTTAGCTGGCCTAGGCTGGGTTCAAACCCACCACCCTCGGTGTATGTGGCTGGAACTGTAACCACTGTGCTACTGGCACCAAGCCGCTCCTAGAATTCTTACGGACTTTCTCAAAGGTTAGCAGTTAAGCAGCCAATGAGAAAGAGCCTTTTGGGCAGCCCTGGATTTGCAGGGCATGGTTTATGTCATTGTCCAAGCAACTGGTGCTCCATAAAGGCTCTAAAGCCCGACCTTGGTCACATCTTCTGCTTAACCCCCTACCCGGGCTTCCCCCTCCCTCCAGTCCTGCTGCAAAGTGGCCTGTGAAGCCTTTGGCACCTGGGCTCGGCCTTGCTGTATTTGCTAGTTAGCGTGTGCTTCTTGGAAGAGCCTAGGCTATAGCACATCTCACTGGTCAGAACCTCCGAGACTTCACTCGTACAAACGCATCTACTTGGAGTGTCTTCCCTCACCTTGATAGCCAGCAGATCCCTACTCTCATTTCAAGGACTGTTTAATGTATCAACTCTGGGTCTTGTAGCCACCCCGCATTTCCTGCCCCGCAGTCAAATTAATCAACACCTCACCTTCCAGCCACCCCCTAAAAGCTGAGACTGATTCAAACACTTCAGAGTCCCTGTGCCTATTAAATGAGATGATCCAGGTGAAGAGCTTAGCACAGTGCCTTCTTGGCACAAGGTAAACACTAAAGAAATGTTAGCTGTTATTATTATTCTAGCATTAAACCTACCCCATAAAATCCAAGCTCCTCAACCTAGCCTGTAAGAATTTTCACAAGCTCACGCCTGATTTTCTCACTTCATTTCCTGCCTCCCACACTCCTCCTCACCTCGACCACACAGGACTTGCTTCTGAGCTTTTGTCTGTGTTGTCCCCCAGCCTGAAGTGGCTTCCTACCCACCACTGTGACTTTTTCTCACTTGTCTCTCAGCGAGGCTAACCTCTTCCCTCTAACCCAAATGCCCCTTTCCAGGGTTCCTTAGGACCCAGCCCTCAGCACAACTATTCATTCACTCTCTTGCTGGGAACATGCCTGATTATCTCAGAGTCTCTGGCGCCCATCACAGAACCCCAATGAGTACTTATCAAAGGAACTGAATAGTAATCATTTGTTGTGGACAAAGTTTTCATCTGGACAATACATCATAAAACTCCTGTGTACAGCAAAGCCACCGGCAGAAGGTGTAAAATGCACACTGCTAGGCCTGTTCAGAGATCCTGGCCCTGCAGTGCTGGCAGGTCCAGGAATCTGCATTGTTATAACTCTTCAGATAATTCTGAAATAACTGATGGTCGCTTTGAGGTCTATTCCTGCCAGGCGCGCTGGCTCAAGCCTCTAATCCTAGTACTCTGGGATGCTGAGCTCAGGAGTTCGAGACCAGCCTGAGCAAGAGTGAAACCCTGTATCTACTAAAAATAGAAAAACTAGCCCGGCATGGTGGTGGGTGCCTGTAGTCCCAGATAATTGGGAGGCTGAGGCAAGAGGATCGTTTGAGCCCAAGAGTTTAAGGTTTCTGTGAGCTATAATACCATGACATTCTACCCAGTGTGACAGAGACTCTGTCTAAAAAAAAAAAATCTAATCTCTTGATAGGAACTTGACAAAGACCCCAATCCATTAACCCGTGGGGCCAGGATGACTGCCTGATAGATGGTGCTAGGAAAACAGACTCATTCTGTGGAGAAAAATGGAAAAAATAAAGGTACTTAACATCCATGCAAAGATGGACTCCAGATGGATTAAAATATACCGTAAAAGTCAAAACTATAACCTTAAAGAAAGAAAGTATAGGGGAATATCTTTGTGATTTAAGGGTAGGGAGAGACTTCTTAAATAAAGCCCCTAAAACATAAAAAATAAGGTCAAAAGGTGAAATTCAATACGTTAAAATTAAGGATTGCTGTACAAAGAAGGATATATGGGTGAGGTTAATGGACAGAGAACAAAATGGAAAAGGTGTAATCACTAAACCACCCTAATACCTAGAATATGTATGTAAGGGACTCTGAAGAAGCCACACGAGAAAACAGCAACCTCCATTGGGAAACTGAGCAACAGACAGGAACAAGAAATTCACTGATGAGGAAACCATGGGATAATGTACAACAGACACTTACACTTACTAGTGAACATTTACTTAGATATTTAGTATGTAAACTATATTTAAATTCATTTATATGGTATAAACTAATAATTTATATTAATTATATAATTATTTAAATAACTTGAAAACAAATATTGAATCCTTGAAATAACAAGATACCACATATGAGACCGGCAAACTTTAGGAAGTGGGTGTTATCTCAGATAAACCCTCTTTAAGGGGCAGCCAAGTCCTATGGGGAGAAGCACTTGACAGCTGACCTCAAGCTGTTGGAGCTGGCAGAGACATCCTGGTCACCGAGGCCAGCACATGGTGGAACCCCTTGTCTAGGCCAGTCCTGGAGACACGGTTCCCTGCAGCAGCCACTGTGCGTCCTGGTCCAGTTCCCCAGGCGGGGTCAATTGGACTCTGGAGAAGTCCCTTGCCCCCAGCTTCTCTCCCACCCTTCCTGCCTGCTCAGAGCACTGCTGCCTGAGTCACCTCCTGAAAGCCAGCTGACCGAATCACCACCCTTCTGCTCACAAACCTCTACTGGCAGCCACTGCGTGTGGGACAGCATCCAAGCACTTCAGTCTGGCACTAGAGACACTTCACAAACTGGCCTCAAATCCTGCTGCTTTCTCCAAGTCCCCCTGCTCCAGGCACACGGAATCTGTCATTATTCCCAGAGCATGCCAGGGCTGTTCACCACTCAGGTCTCTGCAGAAATGGATCTCGTTCCCTGGAACACCCCTGCCCTCACCTGTGCCTTCCATTCCTAGTCCTAACATCCCATGGGAAGGAAACGTGTTGTTGGAAGCAAACCGTACTTTGGAGTGATGTGATTCTCTCTCCAGCTCTGCCACCACAAGGTGTGAGTCTCTGGGTATTTCACTTCATCTCTCTGAGCTCCAATATACTCAACCATAAAATGGAAATAAGCATTTCTACTGCATGGAGTTGGGATGATGAACTTCACATAGTAATATGCTCAGGACAGGGCTGGTATATAATAAGTGCTCATTAAATGGTAGCAGTTATTATTCAGCCACAGCTTAAGCACCACCCTCAGGGAAACCCTCCCAGATTCTCTCGCACAGAACCAGTTGCTTCCTCATCTAGATCCTACAGTATTGTGGCTCTTACTTCATTCATCTCAGCACCCGCAGAGCTTGGCACAGTGTCTGGGACATAGGTACTCAACTCTTGAGTCCCCGGTGAATGATGTGCACGATTCTCCCACTCTGCTGTTAAGTTGGTAGCCTGTCTCCCCTACTTCTCGCCCTCCCATAATTGAGTGAGGACCTGAATGGCTTTGGTTTCAGCAGACCAGATCTTTGGGGGATTAGAACCCAAGGGGACCCTGGCAGTGGGAGGATACAGAGCTCTCCTCATCTCCTTGGGAGGGGTCTGTGAATGACTGCTGGGCTGTGCTGGCCAGAACCAGCAACGTGAGCCGTGAGGACAGCCAGGGCCATTCTTGAGGAGAAGGATTCCAACTGGGTTATGAATCTGCTTGGAAAGTGCTGCTTTGCACTTTGTAAACTCACTCATAAAAATGTATGTAGAGTGCTCAGTATTATTAAAGGGCTTGTGTTGGAAGCATGTTTATTAGGAGTCCCTTAGCAGTGGGGCAGGCCTTCCCAGGGAAGTTCAGAGCCTTGCTGGTGTCTCTGAGCTGCTGGGGCCAAGTGCGCTTCTCTCAAAGGCACACCCACTCCCCAGCCTGACCATGGCTCCAGCTCATCCTCATGAGTCGCCCTCCTTCACCCAAATGAAAGCAGCTCTTACTACTTGGAGTTTGAGGACCTGGCATTCAGTCCCCATCTCCAGCCATGTCCCCTGCTCCTCTCACTTTCTTGGCTCCAGCCACAATTCCTTGGGGCCTTTGAGTGCATTGCAGCTTTTTGGATGTTTACCTCTTCTTCTGCTCCCAGCATCGGGTCAGCTTCTCCCGGGCCCAGGCCAGAGTCTGGCTCTCTCTGCATCACTGTGGCTGGGGGACTGAGCGTCTGGTTCCTTTTCCAGCCCCACGAGACTGCAGGGCTGGGCCAGCATGTGTCCTCTCCTATGTCCAACCCAGGGTGAGGTGGACTTGGCTTACCTTGGCACTCCTGTGTGGCCCCAGTGGTGGTCAGTGTGTAGCCAGGGTAGCAGAAGCAGGAATAGGAACCCACGCGGTTGACACAGCGCCCTTTCCCCTTGCAGGGGTCCCGCAGACACTCATTGTCATCTGAGCAGAGAGAGGCAGGGAGGTAGATCAGGGAGGCAGCAGTGCCTTTCTCTGGGCACTTGCCAGCAACTGCCACACTAGGGGCTGGGCAGGGGATGGTGCTGTGTGGCAAGGAAGGGGTGAGGGAGCAGAGGAGGCCAGGACGACGATCTCTAATGATACAAGCCAAAAATTCGTCCCATCGGGCCCACTTAGGCACTTGGAGCCTGGGTGACTTCTAGCACCTCCTCCCGCCCCTGGTCCCCTTTCCCCGGTGGCCCTGTGATCACTTCTTTCTCCTTTAAGACCACAGTGGATGTTTCTCCTTTGTATAAAATTATTGAGGGGAAAGGAATGAGGTTCACATTTGATGATTTGTCTTGGCTCTAAACTTCTCCCCAGGGATGGCTTTGGTGGAGACATTTCAATTGGCATAGACCTTGGTCCGTTCTGCAGGGAGCAAAGTGGCCAGGTTGAAGGGTGGGCAGATCTCAGAGCAAAGGGCTTCCAGACACAGTTGGGGTGGCCTAGGGTGGCTTCCCACCCTCCTGGAGTCCTGGAGACTCATCAGATGGGGCTTACAGAGGCTGGCCTTCCCCTGAAGGTCAAGGTTAGCTTTGTCCACATGACTAGCCATGCTCCTCTTTTTTTTGAGACACAGCCTCAAGCTGTCCCCCTGGGTAGAGTGCCGTGGCATT